ACCCTACAAGCAGCTACGCACCATGAAGTAGAGCAATTGACAGCTGCTCAACCATAAAACCAGGCTGCCTGAGCTACCCATTGGAAATGACATCTGAGAGACTGACCAGCATTTTACGATAAAACAATGGCTCTCATTTATTTTGTGTTTTAAGGCTCAATTCAAAAGCTGGGGCTAAGTGGGCACAGCAATACTGAAGCTACCAGTTAGATAAGCTAATGGCGGTTTAGGTAGGTGTTATTGTTTTTTTTTTTTCATACGTTATAACAAATAAGTACACCATGAACAAATTTTTCAATGACACTAAATCAATAAAATACCACTGCCAACTTTCAATCAATTTTAGTCTGACAGTTTTGGAGAATAAAACGTGTTAGAAATTCCATTTAGATTCTGCTTTGTAATCCAGGGAGGGACCAACAGAAGCATTGCTTGACAAACTTCAATGGGGAAACTGAGGAGTGTTCCCTGTACCCTGATTGAAAGCATGGTGGGAGACACGACAAGGCAGGTGAGACCAACCACCTGTTAGCAGCACTCGCTTACAAACTCAAAACCAATTTGTGCATTTGGGTTTTGAGATTTCATTTGAAATTCTACTAAAGAATATTTGTTGTGATGCCAAAGTTTTAAATATTAAAAAAAGAAAGTCACTGAAGGGGTCTGAAATCATTAAATATAGCAAAGTTGTCGAAACTGTCAAAGAGTGACTTGCTTTCAATGTGCAAAACACAACAGTCCTCCACAAGCTCTAGAGGCTGGAGGGAATTTGAATGGGAAAAGATTTATAGACTACTTTATAATGCCTAAATTACAAAATAATTTACTCCATACTCAACAACGTTGCAGGCAATGTGGACAGATGATTGCCAGTCACCCTCATATATATAGGCAATGCACAAAAATGCAAACCTACTGGGATGAAGTTGGTCAGGCTATAGAAGAAATATTAGGATAAAAGATACACAAGGAAATCCTTCACAAGTTAAAAAGAACAAAGCATTAATCCTTTCCCATTTAGAGTGAGCCTGCCTTCTATGGATTACAGTCATAACTTATATTTTAAAATAATTAAAACAATAATTTAAATCTGACAGGTCCGAAGCAGCATGTACTCACGAGGCAACAGCCCAAAAAGCAGTTGGTATAGCAGTTTGTTTTCCAGGAGTGATTACTCTGTGACCTATATAAAGAGGCTCTTCACTAAATGGCTGCCTTAGCAGTCCAGTTCGTAGGGAATGCAAAGAAAAACATTAGCACATCAAGAATTCTGGTAAAAGCTTCCTTGCCGATCACAGAAGTGATACAGGAATAATGAAAAAACAGACCTTTATTTTAGATGTTCAAAACAATCATAACTTAAGCCTAAAAAGCTCTTAAATCCTTGTTACTTGCACAATTCTTTTGTCCTTATAAAGCCTTTACCTTAGAAAGTAATAACTGGATTAACTGCACGTTTAGCTTTACCAATCTAGGCTGTTTACTAAAGATTGACAAATAGAGGGGTTTTTTTTCCTTTTCCCCTCCCCACACCAACCGATCCCTAATAAGTGCTGCTGATTTTGGGAGCAAATTCATAAAAACAATATTGCCATTTCCTCTTTCATTTACATAAGATTGACACTGAAAATTTACACTACTCAATTTTAACAAAAAAATAAAAAAATATTGATATAAAAATGGAGAGAGTTGCAATGTATGCTTTTCACATGATCTGAAGGCATGGCTGCTAAATGCACTGATAGAATCAATCCAGTGAAACCATCCCTGTAGGTGCTGATAAAAAAAAGAAATAAACAATCCAAGCATACCGCCTTAAAAATCAGATGGCCGATGTTTAAATTAAGCTTTATATCTTAAAACCCATCTACTGGTAAACTGGAAAGTCCAATTTTTACTTTACATCAGTGAATGCACCACACATAAGCACAAAGTTGAAGTTATGGCAATTTTTATTTTATAAATAAAATGTATATTTATTAAGTTTTCTATCTTACTTGTCCTCAATTTCTATGAAAAGGTTTGTAGGTATTCTTTAACTATGATTACCTATAATTTATTCAATGGCTTAATGCATATTCCCAAGTGTGACTGTTGCCGAGTTAGTGAGAGAGAAATAATTTAAGACTTCTAAAAGGAACCAGATCAGTGTGACAGTAAACCCTTTATTCCCCATAGCTGAACAAACAGTCCATCAGTTAAGGTGGCCTTTAGACTGCAACTTGAAAAGTATTCACGAGACACAAGAACAGTCATATGATCAGCTTAAAAAAGGGGGCTGCGATGGGATAACAGAAGAAATGCAAGGAATTTCAAGGCCTCTCCGGTGCCTCATGTGCTAAAGAGTGGGAAAAGTCAACATGCGGTAAAACTTCAGTCTTGTGATTAAAGTATTTAGACCACCATGTGACCAAGCAGACCAAGAGCCAATATCCACAATTGTATTTTTCTAATGGCAAAACAGAAACTTAAATATTATTCAACTGGCAATGAACCAGATATTCCTCCTATCATGACCTGTAATTATTTATCAACCTGATAAACTTCAAGTGAGGTAATGCAAAATTTAAAATTTCTTCCAATTTATGTGATCAAATCATACAGTTTTCGATGCTACAGGTAGATTAATTTGAAATAAAACTAATAAAATAATAAAAAAAAAAGTCCTGCATCAAAAGGTGATTTAAATATATTTACAAAGTAGTCAGCAGGGTTTGAGGAAAACAGAAGTTGACCAGATTAAACAGATCAAAAAGGCACATTTGAGATGAAGAGAAATTTCTTTCCATCTCTTGTTCCCTATAAATATCCTTTAATTCATTAAAAAGAAAGTCACCAATTCTGATTTTCCCCCAGTCTAACATAACGTACTTTCATACATGAGATGCAAGCTATTTAATGGGTTAATCAACATAAGAAATAAGTACTGGATAATGGTTTTAATACATTAAGTCTAACAAATTGTGTTTCTGAACAAATAAATTTAATAAAATCAAATGTGAAAACCCTTCAGAAACTTATAATTTACAGATGACAGATACCAAGACAGCTGACTGTTGGAAAATCAAAGCAAAACACTGAGGAGGCACCTGGCTGTGCCCCGATCTGGAGCAACAAGAAGGGGACGAATGGTGAATGATTCAAAAGTCCTTTTAAGGGCCAAATTAAAACAGCCTTTCTAAAAGAAACCCACAAACTTCTTAAGGGCATATTCTACTTCACCCCAAGTTAGCATTGTTTTTTCCGCCATCTATTTTTATAAAGCTTCATCTCCACTGTGTTCCATTCTTTGTCACATCCAAGACAACAGCTCAGATTTTTCCCAACATTGAATGTGGGCAAGTATCCATCACAGGAGCTGCGTCGCTCTCATATCACTGTAACTGACATAACTGCTTGTTGTTAGAAGTGCATCCTTCATAATGCGTTGCACCTCATAGTTCCCAACACACCTGTACATAGAGATAACATGGGGATATATGAGCAGAGATGTTACCTTTGTTAGGATAATTATCATTGAAGGTGTGAGTTTATTACACCTTGTTATTGGCTGCCTGTTGCATGTCAGAACTGACGTTTTAATCCAATAAGGACAGTTCCTCTGTCTGGATATACAGTTATAATCTTCATTCTGTTCATGGCAATTTTTGGAAATTGAATGAGAGCAGTGTCCTTCAGCTAAGAACGAAGTGTAATATTTATATAAGGCTGGAGCCATGGATGTCTAATCATCTGCTAACGTGTATGATGTAAAATATGATGTGGCAGACTGGAGATATATAAAATGCCCTTATAACTGTTAAACGTCCTGAGTGGTGAGCAGCTGCCTTCTGTACATTCTAAGCAACTTCTCTGATCTGAGTAAGATTACAAATCCTATGAGAATCTGTTGTCATGTCTTTTGGTTATTTAATACATACAAGTTATGAAGTGTTATTCAAAGAGTTTGTCCCAAATGGTCTCTTTTCAGGGAAAAGAAACGGAGAGATAGAGCTTTGAGGTGCATAAACAGAGCCCATCTTTAACGGTTGAGAAAAACTCTTGGTCTCCTCTCCAAACTGCTGTAATACTCTCTCCAAAACACATTGCAGGGACATGTCATCCCCTCTGCCATACTCTGTAAGATTGAGACTGTCAACCTTTCCACTCTTTTGTAATGGCTCTCCAAGCAAATAGTAGTTATAGTAGATTGAAAAGGTAATCCGAGTCCGTTTCAAACTCTTCAAGAAAAAAATAAAACATCTCTCAAGAGAATGGCAAAAGCTGTTCAAGTCAGGAGATTTGACAAAAGTGCTTTACATGGCATTAACTCAGCCACCCATTAACGCATACATCTATGGCCAGCTACATTTTAGCCACAGATGCCCTGGTACTCACTGAGAAGTGAGGCAAGGGGCCCTCTGACCACTATCAGTGGGCAATGCAGGTAAAGTTTCTTGCCCTAGAACTCTGACATTGAAAGCCAACCCTAACCCTTACAAGGCAAGACTTCTTGGTTAAACCAAGAACTGTGTGGTTGCAGGGCATTCAATGCCACCATTGCCCTAAATCCCATGCCTTCAAACAGTTAAATTGCATTATTTTATCTATTGTAGTTTTCAACCATTTTCATATCTTTCCTGAGTACATGTCATCTTAGTCAAGAGGTTTTCATGTAAATATGTTTGACCATCTTTGTTAAATTCTTACATTTTGAATGGAAGTTTTTGTGAAATGATTCCATGTGTGCGCAGAGTTAACCATTTGACCACGATTTGAAGATGAATCAGACTTTCATTTGTTGTCCTAACACACAGGACATGGACCAATTTATGACAATCGTTTTTTTGATTAATAGCTACACTCGCATTCAACTTAACATTAATTTCCTGTACCCCAGGTAGACATTGAATGTGAAGTTATTGCATAAGAGGTAAAACACTCTTGAGTCACTGTAAACTGCTCAGTATGAATGTACCATGATCTACTCAAAAAAAAAAAAAATCAATAAATCTACATACCTGGCTCCGAACAGTTCTTTGGCTCAGTGTCATTTTCAGAGATGGAGGCCATTAGCCTTCTACCCCAGTGTTCAAAGTCTGGATGTCCTTCTACAGTCATCCCATGACCTGAAACAGAATAAAAACATCACCAGTTAGCCCATACTAGCAGGTACACATTTAAATCTGCAGCACATTTGTTGCAAGATAAACTCAAACTTTAGTTCCAAGGAGGCCTTGAAACTTATTTCTGCAAACAAAACCAACATAGCTAAAGTTTTAAGGTTCCATTTATGAACAGGACTCCATGATCATGCTCATTAATCCAACCAAGGTTTGCTTTTGCTTAATCCTTTAAAAGTTCCATTTATGTAGATGTGGCATTTTATCCAGTATCAACATGACGTCAAATACAGCTGTGCCATTATATTTCAGGGGCGGGAGAATTTTTTTTTTTTTTTTTTTTTTTTAAATAAACTGCTTTTAAGCCTCTAATGAGGACAAGAGGGGTGAAAAAAATAAAAGCAGTCTCAAACCCATTATGTAAAGATGTTCAAATTGACTGAGCAGCCCTTTAAAGTTGCAATTTTCATGAAAAACTGTACTGCAAAGCCATTACTGGACTGAGGGACAGAATGATAGAACTGATGCTCCCATCCACCTTTAACTTGTAGGTTATTTGATAATATAAACATATTTCATACAGACGATCTATGAGATGCCTTAATATTCTGAAGATAAATTGCATGAATTAAACTTCCAAGACCAAAAAAAATTTGTATTTAAATCGGTGTCACATAAATGTGTTTAACCTCTTAGTCGCACAGACTATACTAGAACCTACATGTAAAGATGTTACTGCTTACAGTAATGTTTATTTGCATAGTGTTTACCCCCCCTCTAGATTACCAGCAACCATGACCATTGTAGACCACCCAAATTCCCCAATAAGGGGAACTTGGGAGGTTTAGCTAATCTTTCTATGAAAGATCTTCTCACAAGGTAAAATGCATTGGTTATAAGTATATGCAAATTCAAGATACAAATTGGACTAATTAGTTGCAACAAAATCAAAGGTCTTGTTTAAAAAGAATCATTTCACTTAAATGTCGAGGGCTATGGATGCCCTTTTGTCATACAGCAATTTGATCTACATAAGTTCTTAATGCACATCTCCCACAATATTAGCTAGAAAAAATAAAAAATAAGACTTAATGCAAAATTTATCTATAAGATCATGTAATCATTGTCCAAATAACTAAGCCAAATAGAGAAACCTTTTCATTGCTTCAAATTCCAGTTAAGTTCAGTTTTTTTATTCATATATTTTGACAAAATTTAATAGATCCATTGTGTCAATGCACCAAGATTCAACTCATGTTTTAGGTTATTAGATTTGCTTTTTTTTTTTTTTTTTTTTTTTTTTTTTATAAAACAACTGTGTGACAAAAATTTAAGGTTACTACAACAGATTCGCTTTTTGACGATCAATGAGACTGGTTGAGTATTTCAGTGGGTTTTTGTTTCGTTTTTATTTCTTCCAAGTTGTTGATATCTAGTGCGTAATCCCTTTCATTGCAAGTATTTTTGGGCCAGTTAGATTTGCGTTTAACATATTATGCAGGGGGTCCTGTGGAGCAATTAAGCCTCCAAAATTAGATTTTCCTTTAGGCAAAGGCACCCCCCAAAGAGAGGAAAAATATTTTTAAAAAGCAGTCTTCTCATTTCTGGTCCACACTTGTTTTACTATAGGATTAAATCTTTATTTTTCCTGGCATTTTGCAACTTGCCTTAAGTGGTATTGTCCCTGGACTCAAATACGTAAGGACAATATTTCAGAAGTCAAACAGATCAGCAACCACTGAATAATCAAATTACACAAGAGACACGCTACTTCCTACCAATTCTCGCTTTTGAAGACCAAACCCTGCAGCTATCAGTTTAACCCGTTTTCAATCAACTCGTTTGCCTGGTCTGCCATCTCTTGACCTCCCCCTCTTGATCACAGATGTCAAATTGAAAGCCTTCTAATGTCATTCCTAATATCCTGCTCTTACTTAACCAGTATGTGATAAATCATTAGGCTTACTTGTGCCAAGAGAAAAACTGAATTAGACATGCAACCATTTTAATTTCGCACAACTCTTCCTCCAAATGCAATTTCCTCAGCAGTTAGTTGTGAAACCACAAGATAACATCTCTGACATTTCTACTTAAAGTCAACACAGGAGTACAGTTGTTTGAATTGTCCAGATTAACACCAACTTGTATCCATTTAAAGATGTAATTTGCCAGCACCTCTGGGCAGACAGTGGGAGAGAGGGGGGTGGGTGGTATAATACACGTCTCAGCTGGTTGTGAGAATGACATTGATGACTTATGCAACGTCAGATTTCCTACTGAAGACAGGTTTTCATTTACTTATTCATGCTTTGGCGTTGTGAAGACGAGCAGGGTTAACTTTTTCTGTCCCCCCCTAAATTGGATTTAATCCAACTATGAAACCTCAACTGACAACTTTAGTGTAATCTCTTTTTATAAAAAAAACAAAAAAACATCTTTGTAGTCTTTGCAACATGTCAAGCTGAAAATGGCAAAGGGAGCATATCGCTTGGATTTTTTTTATTTTAATGTCTAAACACTAGTTATGCATGCATTTATCTTATGCACACCCGCCTGGTTTTAACATTTCGCTGGGGACTTTCTTTCAACTTTTCATTTGTAGGAGAGCCCAAATGTGATCCTTACCTTAAAGGTTCATACATAACTCTGACCTAAACTCAATTCCCAACATAGTCCTTAACACCTAACCCTATAACAGCATTTTTACCCATGGGAACTAGATACTAGAGGGTCCTCTAGTGGGGACTACACTTAGCAGTTCAGCTGCTTTAGTTTACCCTGACATGTATTTGAATTTTCTTTCATTACTGCAGGTTTAGCTTTACAAATCAGGAAGCTGCCATGTATCAAGAAGAGTTGCACCTATCCAATTCTTTTTTTTTTTCCTGATCCAAACTGATACATGTGCTGAGCGTATTGGTCGATATCAGACACCATTGAATTAAGCATATACAATCCCGTATCAGTAAAGGCACTTTGCTAAAAATAAATAACATAGATAAAATATCTATATCTATATCTATCTATATCTATATATATCCTTTTTTTATAAATTCAAAAAAGCTTGGATCAACAGAGTTAATCCAATATCCAAACCAGCTAATTACCCAACATCGGAGCCCATACTCTGATCAGTACATTCCTTGTAACAAGATGTTCCTATATCAATAACTTTGTTATTGTCCATGTTGTAATTGTTTTAATGTAATTAATATCACAATATTGCAGTGCTCAGAATAATCTACACAGAGATTGTGAAAATATCCATGTTTTAATGCAAAATTACATTGCCTATATTTAAAGCTGCGTTCCTGACAATATTTTAAATATATAGACACGCATCTTGATATCAAATATCTAACTTTAGGGAATAAATGCCTTCACTATAATGAGTTTTGTTTTTCTGAAACCCGAGGTTCTAACGTTCTACTGCTGCTGCAATGAGGGTGTTTTACAAATATTTAGCTTTGATGTCAAATTTTGAGGGTCCTGCAGGATAGGAGTCCCAAGCATGTTTCCATCTGCATGAAATTATCGGCAGGCAGAAATCATGAGCATCAGAAAACACAGCAGTAATGGTTTAATAATATCCTCTGGTTCCATTTTAGAAACCTAGGCGGCATGTTAACCAAGGTCAACCATCCATCAAAGTTCATATGACGACAATTAGAGCTTATCGTCATTAACATAATTGTTTTGCCCAGTCACACAGGGCCACCTTAGCGAACCTGCACAGGAACCCGTCAGTGTGATGCCCTAGTGTTCCACACACCTTTGCCTATAACCAGTGTATAGCTTTGTCACAAGTGCATATGCATGCTGTGATCGGCATAAGTGACAGCATGTTGAGCCCCACCCCTGACTCACAAAGATGACACCCAGAGGCAGTACATCACATCCTATCCATCTGGACTGTTCAGCAAATCATTTGGGATCAATCACAACTAGACATGGGTTGAATTCACCCTAACTACTAAACATGACCATATTTCCTTTCAGACAACAGACATTTCTACTAAAAGTTTCCACCGCTCCCCTGCCCTTGTGTGTTCAAAAATCAAGAGTTGGATTAGTTACTTTTCTTGGTGATGCAAATTTTAGGTTCCGAGGTCTGAGACACAGATTTCAACTAAAAATAGGCCAGCCAATTATGTTGCATTGTTATGGTTTAATGTGGGAAATGTGGCTGTGATGAAAGCAAAACCTGCAGAGCCCACAGTTAAAACGGAACACATGGCAGAGCAAAAATATATACGTTGCTGCTTCTGCTGCTGCTATCAAATGCGTTTTGTCAGAATTCACAATTTCATCTATGACAGAATCAACAACAGCTTCAAAGTTTAAGTTTTTTGTGGCTTCTCACAGTGTCTGCCATGTCATTTGTTTGGACGTCCTTGCTGTCTCTTTGCCCAAAAACATTCAAGGAGAGCAACCTTAGATTGTTAAATATCAGTCTAGCTTAACTGGTTAATAAACCATTGGTGCAACCTTGATACTGGTTACTTTTGTACATTGTAACTCACAACCACGACAATTACTGGAGTTTATTAAATTCAATTGTAATAAATGACATGCTTTTCAAAAAATAAGTGTTTTTAATTAAGAGTAATTTCGATTGAATGTGCTTTACCGGAGACATTCATGTTTGCCAAAGAGCACTACGGCCATTTACCCGTTTGTGATGTCACAGTGAGGTATCGGGCTTTAGAGCAAGTCCCAGTGCTGTATCTGGTACTTGTCACAACATGCTATTGTCCATGATGGTGATGACCAGTGCACTATGCTAGGCAGAGTGTAACGGAGTAATGATGCGTTTTTTCTCCGGCCATAAGTTCAATGACAAATTCTCACTCTTTGATTTGGCAATCCAACAACGAACCCATCCGTGGAGGATCATGGAAAGGTGAAATAACTTTTTTTCCACTTTTCCGAGGTATTACAACATCCAACTACCATGGATGTGGGCATTGTCAGTTTAACTATGGCTCTCGCAAATTTCAATGTGAGGTCATCTCAAAATCTTCAATAATTGTTGATTGCAGATGTCCGAAAGCTCCCATTGATTTTGCTTGGAAAGCGGGGAGAATGGCGCTAGGCTTACCGCACTGTGATATCACTGCCAGAACATGTCAAGGGCATGAGGCGATATTTGGGCAAAAATGGCCACTCCCAGACTCAGTGATATTTTTTTGTTTGTTTTACTTATTAACGCTAGATTTATTACATCATGAACGTATTAGTTTTAGGTATAAATAATGACCCATTGGTTATTCCTTGCTGACCGGACTATTTCTTTAATGAAAGACAGGAATCAAAAGTGCTGGCTGAGGTTCAGGAAGTAGTAGAGTTGGACATGAAGCCCATTGTTCAAGCTAAGGAAGTTAAAATTATGCTTAGATTTAGGTTGTAATCAAAACACTCCCGATAATTCTTCAAGTGGTTGTAACACGCATAGTTGAACAGCCTTTAGCCTTGGGCCCACAATGACTGGTCTGAAACACAAAGGAGGCTAATTAGGTTCTCATCTGCTGCATCTTGTTTGATCATTCTAAATAAAACCTTTAAGTTTTAACCTTGGTCTATAAACAAATTGAGTTCCCCAAGGCTCAATTTTAAGTCACGCTCTTAATCTGTATATATGTGACAAGCTTCCCCGATTATGGGATTGATGCACAGCTTTATACTGCCGTGTCAGATCAGACTAAAATTGGATGCCATTTTTTTTAAATTTCAGATATGAAATGGTTCAGACATGGCACATATTTGTTCTGGTTGAAGTTGAGAGCAAATTAGTCATCATTCCTTAGATATGAGGTGAAACTAAGTACTATGAAATTACAAACGCCAAGAATGAATAAGAACCTTTATGCCATTTTGATAAAAATCAAGTTTTCTGCGAAGGATATGACTTGCACAACCAATACACAGTATTGGATTGTATGAACACTACTAGAGTAAAGCTAGTGCTCCCAGCACCAATACAGAGATCATGCTCCTTACCCACCCACCAAATCTAAGGATTTAATTATTGCAATGTTTGAATCAACACAAAAATCTGTGTATATTATTAAACAAGGACCAAAAGAATTCACATTGCTCATACTTTGGTCTCTGCACCATTTTATGTTTTCCATCAGTCATTTTGATTGATCCCAAGGTTAACTGGTCTGTGTTTAAAGCTCAAATTATTTGCTTTAATAGCTCTCAAACCTGCTTGGACCCCTGTTAAAACACCAGGATGAACTATGTTAATTTGTTGTAATACATTTTATATTTAGTGTGTCCAATCCAACAACAAATGAAATGTTTAAAAAAAAAGCTGCAGGTTAGCTTATAAATACAAGAAAAATCACATTTAAATAGAAGTTTAGTCTCTGATGATCTTAGAGTCCCCTTCCTGCAGTCTTTGTATCATCTGGTCTTCCCAGCCAGATTATTTCTAAACTATCAAAGATATATCATTAATGTTTTCTTTTTTTATCTAGATATAAGCTTTGATTTACTGCATAGCTATACCATTCATGTTTCAGCTTCCTGGATAATTTATCACAGGTAAGATCAGAAGTGGTGTTCACAGATCACATCAGTTGCCAACATCAAATTCCACGACAGAGGTTGTTTTCTTGATAACTATTCTGGAATTGATCAAGATTTTGGAAAGATTGTCTTTCAACTGCACTTCTAAGACCAAATATAAGAAAAATACAGGAGGTTTTTTGAGGTCACAGACCATAACTAATCAACTTTCCAAAAGCTCTTACTGTCATGCTATGGTAAGGTTATTAAAAAATAACCAGTTAAGATCATGTTTATCTCTTTTAAAGACATCAGGTTCTAGATAATTGGACTACAGAGGACATAGTTGGCCTGATTGTAAAGGTGGTTTATTACAAGGGACATGTATACATACATATAGTAGAAGTTAATAAAAGTTAATTTATTAACTAATTTACTGCATTATTTTGATGGAATAAGGCTACCTCACCAGAGGGAAAAAAAAAAAAACATCTGGATACATATATAAAAAACTTGGCATTTCCTCAGGTGCATACCTGATTAATTTAATTAAATGCAGATCTTACAACAAAAATGTCAAAACTAATTGGGAAAGCAGATTTTAATTGTTGTCTGATTATAAAAACAGCCTTTATAGGGACCGGAGGGGGAGCTGGGAGACCAAATTTTATATTTTTTAATTGAATGAGGCATTTCCAAAATAAAGAGGCTATAGTTAGATATTTTCCATGGGTACAAAATCAATTATAGAAATCTAGATTAATTGTGTCAAAACTGCACACTTAAATGCAGGCGCAGTCTGACTAATGTTGGTCCTAAAGGTTTTGGAAATAGTCTATATTTAACCTTTAACCCCCACGTGTTGTCTCATTCTTAACCAGCAAAAATGTCAAGGTTGACCATCAGATTACATAACCGCGCTGGGGCTGAGTGGGATGCTCTGCACGAGCCTGCCGCCAGAGTTCCTGCACACGAGAGGGCATGTTTGGGTTGCGTTCGCGCACACACGAGGCATGATCATCACCACTGTCGGAATCTTTTCTCAGTGGACGAGTTCGAGAAATAATATCGCAAGAAGACGCATCCCCTATTCCCTCCTCCTGCTCCTCTCCCTCCCTTCATCGCAGATATCGTTTGTGGCCTCTGCATAAAAAGCAGCATGCGGAAGCAAAGGAGCAAGATCATCTTCGTTAACATGTGTGTTCAGGATGTGCGTGCGTGGAGCCCCGGGCCAGACGCAATGATGCCAGCCGTAACCATGATCATGACGCATCTGGAAAACGCACATTCTGATAGAATTGAAAGCAATTTAAATCAAGAAGAAAAAAATGTGTTTTATTTTTATTTATTTATTTATTTATTTATTTATTTTTGGGGGGGGGGGTCTTAAAAAAAAAAAAAAAAAGTCTTCACGTGGATGAGGAGCATGCTGTAATTAGAAGCGTGCCTGTCAATTTCAAAACGCGCCGCCGCGCACACTGCGGCACACATAATGTACTTTCATTTAAAAACCTGCGACCCGACGGCATGCGCGGCTTTACAAAACTACCCGGTAATTTTTATGCAATTGTCGTTTGGATGAACATGGTGCACAGGTTGGACAGAATGTTCCTGTTCGTTAAATATATATTTCTGATTCTTTTGCACTGAAGATTTAAGCATAATAATACATTTTATGATAAATGTGACAGTGAAGCATGAACACTCTGCAGATGTCTGAGGCACCCTTTCACCCCCGGTGCGTCCCCTCTCTTCTCCCCCCCTCCACACACACTCACCTGTCTTGCCCAACATAGCCGACATGCTCCATGCCACGAAGAGGACACTGCAGATGAAGCAGACCTGAACGAACAGCATCTCCCTCCTCTTGCGAACTTTGAAGATCTTCGTGATGATCGTCTTTTTGGACGGGCTCACGGCTTCGGAGTCGTCCCGCTCCATGCTCCGCAGCTCGCTCGGCCAGGGGCCACTTTTTTTCTGGCGCGTCCTTGAGAGCCGAAGGGAAAGCTGCCGCCCGGCTTGTATCTTCACAGGGAAAAAAGCCGAAATGTGTTCCTCATTTCAAGTCGTCCAAGTGCGCAGGCAGTAGAGAGATGAAGTTGATTTTTTGTTTCCGTTTTCCCGACAGATTTAGAGGAAGCTTTTAGGCTGGACAGGGCAATGACAGTGCGGTCAAATTCTCAATGTGGATCCAGATTTATTCAGCAATGCTCCTGAATTTAGATCGAGTCTGGCATACAAGACTAGATCTCATTTTGTAGCATGCATCCCAGCCCAAAGGAGGGGAAAAAATAAACTCTGTATCCGGTGAAGAGTTAATGTTCAACATAAGGATGCGCCAGTGTCCAGGCACAAACCTGAAAAACGCTCAGCTGCGCCGCATCACAAATCCTCCGCACCTGCGCTTGTTAGTGAAACCAATCTGCGCTCATCAGAGATAATTGTTCAAATTGGGCAGCGGTCGTGTCGTGCGCCTCCACCCCTCCTCACGAATGAACGCCCTCTCAGTAGAGAATAACCGGGCGGTGATGAGAGTAGACCGGCCAGTGCCAGCCTCAAGTATAAGCGAACTTTGCTACTATTAAGGAAAAGGCTTATGTTTTTTTTTTTATGTTTTTGAATATGCTCTAAGCTTTCTGCTATGATTTGATTTTTGTAAGGAATGGAAATTACTCAAATGAAATAAAAATCCTTGAAATGCAAAGTAGGCTTCATTTGTTGATTGATTCATAAAATCCCTCATTAAGTTTATCACTTGTCATTGCTGTAGTGTAACTCTGCTGCTACTCTTAGTTCATATTTTGCCCTTCTATTCATAAACTTCAAAAGACCTCTGATCTTTTCTCAAGCAGTCAGGCTTTAGTTTTTGGAAACTTCAAAGTTCTGTTTTAAGTTTACTAGTTATGTCCGAATGGGTTTTAATGGGTAAATAAATTGTTTTGAACATAAGTTAACACAGATAAGTGGCTTAAGACTCCACTGCAGGCAAATGTGTCCCAAATTAGATTTTTTGGGAGATCAAGTAACCTCTATTGAACAAGTGTGTTTGCTCAGATTTGGCCAAAATCCGATACCTTTAGTCACATTTCAGCCCCTTCCCTAAAAACTGCATCCTTATGTGGGACCTTTTTGAATGTGACTCCAATGGAAACAAAGAAAGCAATTCCGATGCGAGTTTGATGTCATTTTCCATTGATATTGGTCACAACTTTCTAGCTGAAATTGATAGCAGTTTGTAAGATGGACAGCAGATGTAACAGCACATTAACATGTTGGTCCTTGTTGATCTATGGAGTGAAACTTTTACGGAAGTCGAAAGCTCAAATAGAAACAATCTGATTACAGTCAAAAGTGTTAAACCGTCTAAAGTTTGAATGATGGTTTTAGCTGAGAGTAAGTTGGCATTCAGAGATAATCAGCCTTAAAGAGCACAAGGGGCCAGCTAATAGGAAAGTTTGCTTCATTTATTTCTAAATAAATTAGTTGTATAAAATTTTTTACATGTAAAAGCTTATCCTGTCTTGTAGATGTACATGTTATTAAAAAAAATATATTTATGCACATATATTCATCTTTGCAAGTTTATGCAAATACATGTATGTATGTTGGGTTCAGCCTTTTAATTTGGTAAATTATCAACTTATAAACCATAGTTTAATCTGATTCCCTTTTCTGCAATGCACATTTGTCAAAATAAAAATCAAATTAATCCAACATTTAGATTTTTTTTTAAGAATATAAGCATTCAACACTAAGAAATAGCTGGATTTATAGCTATTAAGCCATGATGGAGCTGACCGATATATCAAATAGCACTCTGCTTTTCTAAACAATAGTGCTGTGATGCACGGTATGTTTAATTATTTGTTCTGACAGCCAAGGACCGGGTCATATCCTATGTCTGAATTTTGTCAAATAGTGAAAAAATTCCAAAAGTAGATGCCAAAAAATGTATAGAATTGGCAACAGTCTCTTCCCAAGAGCCTAAATTCAACATAATTTTGACACAGTGAAATTGAAATATTTAAAAGTGATTTAATGATTAAAATATAGTGTGGTGTAACTCAATTATACATTAAAACACATTCCGTCATACCACCCATACTTTAATCTAACCACTAGTTTGTAAAACAGATTAAAAAAAAAACAAGGCTTAAATCCTCGAACTCTATTTCAGACATTTTGAATTGGAAAAGCTTCCTGGATGGGAAGTGAAACGTCTTCAAACTTGGAAACAAAGTCCAATGGTTTGTTTTTTAATTTTCTTTGGAATGTAAAACAGATTTTGTTGAATGCGGGATGCCAAAATCTAACAGTAGTAAGAGATAAGTGACATGCGCTGATGAGCAGCGCTTGTACTGTTTTAAATCACACCCCTGGGCAAGCACATCCTCAACTGATCATTATGCAAAACAAACAAAAAAAAATAAATGCTACTTCACACTTTATACTTAATCTAAAACAATATTATAAAGATTCTCTTGAAAAAAACTGATTTTCAGTTAAAAACTTTCAACCTTGAATGAAGGAAATACCGATTGGCAAAGGAATGATCAAAGGTATATTATGGGATTTTTGAAAATATCTATTAAAAGACCATTTTATTATTGGCTAATTGAACAAAATCTATGATGGTCAGTTGGCTCTGCTCTATATAGAATATTTAGTTCAAGGTTTTATGAGTTCAGTTGTTTTATATTTTCAACTGTAGATGATCAGATGCAAAACTCAGTATTTTAATGTCTTTAAACCGCTTGTGCCACCCAGTGGACAATGGCACCCTGGGCAGGGAGCCACATATGAAGATTTTTCACTGCTCTAAATAAATGTCTGTGTTTGGCCCTTTACAACCTTGTGCCAGATGCTTTATTTACTCTGAGACTGGACTTTAACTTTCCTGAGAGTTATGTTTACAAAAATTATTCCCTACTGAAAACCTCATGCTGCTCCACATTGATCAGCCCAGAACATGGTGATCTTTCATATCATTTGTGCTTCGCCGTGTCTCTAATGACGGATTCATCCATATCTCTTTACTGCTGCAATATAAAACCAAATCCAATATCTTTCTGGGTCCTGAGCATATCCCATTTTAATAACTGGCCTGCTAGTCACCTGAAATCCCCATTTTGATATAAAGCTGAATAATTGAGGTTATAGATCCTTCAGCTCAAAAGCATCAATGCCTCCATTACCCCTCCCAAATTTAAAATACTTTTTTATGGCCATAAGGTTTTAGCTGCATTAATATAATGGCTTATCCTTGTTGCTTTTCAGAAAATTGCTATATATGAAAAGATTTATTGGCACAGAGCATACAAAAAAAATGATTGTGATGGAGACTTTATGTAAATTCAGCCACTGCAAGACGATATAGTCAATCTTTAGTCAGTGATTATAACACTTGCTGCAGAAGATAAAAAAAAACACCTATAATTTTTCAATGAATAAGCGTATTCAGTGTTTTCATTAATGAAGGAACCAGTGAGGGAAAGAGTTATGCAAAGGCCAAAGCCCACCTATCTCATCCATCACCTAAACATATTTGAGCTGCTCTCCTTAAGACTAAACCATGATCTGGAGGTAGGAGTCAACCTTTTTCTGTTTTGTTTTTTTTATTCTGATCTGATCAGGATGCTTCATGGCCAAAAGGAAAGTTTAGGTATGTATGTCTCACTAATTGACCCTGTTGCAGTCATAAATTTGATGGAGAGACTGTACATCGCATTTTGTCTAGGAATGCCTCAGCAAAAAGATCCCAGATGTAATTAAAAGAGTTGCTTTAAGTTTGGGCATCTGGGTTTCCCTGGTAGATCTCCTACTCTAGCTGCCTGAACTTGGATGGGGGGGATTAACAAATGGACGGTCAAATATTTCAAGTTCTTTGTTCTGAAAACATTTCAAATGAAATTTGTTTGTTGTATTTGGATTATCCTTTCATTCCTTTATACCACATGGACTCATACATTTTCAAAAAACTAAGCATAGAATCAATCTTCAGCATCTCTCCTGCAATCTGCTTGTCCTGAAGGCACTATTTTCTATTCCTTTAGAAAAAATGATAAGAAAAAGCTACTATGGCACAATACCGTTTTGGCCAGGTATAAATACTGGACAACAAACTGAACGATAAAGCTGCTGAAGCAGATTCAGATTAAACTTGGCATTAACAGACCCCCAGACTACTGTGCTACTGTTTAGTAGTTGGCCCTCTCTCAAGTGTGTCACCAATACAATCTAGCTGGGGAATCTGCAGAGTCCAGTGAGCCAAATGCAAATGGTGAGGGGAAACTGGTATGTGGTGTTTGTTTGCATATGCTGGAATTGTATGTTGTTGTTGTTTGTGGTTTCTTACACAACATAATTAAGTATGACTACCTTTTTTTTTTAAACTATTGAGTAGTAAAATTCAGCTTAATCTAATAAGAAACTTAAAACAACTTCAAACATCTCTTCTGAAAAACCAGATCAACTCTGACAGTATAAAAAATAATAACATCAAATGTAGTCTATTTACCAGGTAAAACATGCTTATTTGCAGTTTTGCTGAGAACTAGCTGAGATATCAGCTTGTATAATTTCTAGAGTAGGCGTAAACAGCAAGTTTTGAACTGCTCAAAGGCAGTACAAATAAATAGGCTTCACCTAGTAGCATTTTAAGCTCACTAATTACATGTTAACTTGTTTTCTAAGTCTAATTAAATGTAATGAGGGTCAACTTCCTTTGAGAAGGTTCTAAAGAAAATATCATTTTCTTTAAACTTTGCCGATCTAAAATTCTGCCTGTGGACTTACTTAGCAAGAACAAGCCTAAAGAAGGTTATAATCTCCTGCATAATATATATCTTAACAAATTCCTTTAGCACTTTACCATAACATTCCCATGCCAAAAAAAAAACACCAGATAGTTTTGGAGGCTTCAACTAATCCCAATCATGCCCTTGTTACCCTTCAGCATACGCAAAAACTTCTGCAGTTGCCTCTGCTATGTATCTATGCATGGATTGGGTATGCAAAAGTCTTCCCTTTACCATGGCCACTGCTGAATACTGTAGAAAAAGCTAAATTTAAAGGATCAAAACCTTCACCATTTTCTGCAGGACTTGGTTACATAAGATAGTACAGTACAAGCAGCCCTCCAAAATCATTAACCATCATTTCCAAGAAGCATCCAAGGGGCTGTGTGAGTGGTGAATGTGGAAGGCGTTGCAAGTCATTAGTTGGAGCTTTCCAAATTTGTTGCTAAGACTTTATCCTGTAGACTGGGTCTTCTGCTTGCCCCCATATACAACATGTGTGACTCATGCCAGTGCCAAGAGATTAGTCCCATCCAGGCCCCCATCCATACAGCAGGGAAGGCAGTTGGGGAGAAATGCCAGGGCCTGCTTATAGAGATTTAGTCACTGCTTTAGACTCTCTGCCTTGGTCAAACTTACACATCTTTCTGTGTCTACAGCAGGTCCAAAACAACAGCCACCGCTCTGCAGACAGATCATAAATGGAGCTTTAATGTGCAAAAATATCCAAAGAGCAACTGGAGTGGT